TTATTTCCAATTGTAATATAATTTTGGCTGTCCCCTTTGGATAATATTGGACAGATGCACATTTTACCGTATTTCGTCTTATTACTCGTGTTTTAAACCTCCACTTTTGTAGACCTCCGATTACAACAAGAATTGTAAGCTTAGATAGATATGTTTTTGACTATTTTAAGTTGTCTATTAATATTATATTATTTTATTACAATTATTCAGACATTAAAGTGCATTTTCCTTGCATATAAATTGATATTACAAGTATTGGCTTTTGCTTTCTTAAGGCTCATTGATCGCAAGTGATTCAGGTAAGTGAATCGAACCCACGACTACCATTGTTGTCATAAACAATAGACCATTGAACTTGCGCTTAGTGACTGGTGTTGAATCCGATCCACAAGTAGCAGTGAGTAGGCCTACTGCAATTCTACCGATATCTTGATGCGTAAGGAATAAATTTACCTTTAGTCGTCATTTGAGTTAACGTGGAAGTACCATTAGTAGGCCCCGTAGTAGTATCTGTCGTATGTGTGTTTGCGCCAGTACCTACATGCAAATATTTTTTTTTTATGGTTAGGAATTTACCGTAATTCGTCGTAATACTAGTACTGTATTTTAGACCTACACCTATTTATAGAACGCCGACTACAACAAAATTATAATTATTACCTACCATGCAAAAAAAATTTTTTTCTATTGTTAGGGATTACATCTTAAGCAACCAGCTGTATAATATAGGTAATTATTTTGGTATTGTTCACCACAATATTTCCAATTGGTATATAACGAGTGTCAACAAGTATTAACTGAATAGAATTGATCTACATTTTACCGTAATTCGTTGTATTACTAGTACTGTATTTTAGACCTACCTATTTATAGAACAGAACTCCGATTACAACAGAATTGTAAGCAATATACAAATATATCAAATATCCATAAATATGAAGGAAAGATAAAAAAATAAAATAAATAAATAAGTAAATAAATAAATAATTAATGTACATTTTCCTTTGCGTATAAATTAATATTACAGGTCTAGCCTTATACTTTCTTCCTTGCGTGCTCAGTGATGTTATGATGCTTAAGGAAATATACATCAAATTCAATAATTTTGATGTGTGACAGGAATATATGATAGGAGTGATGTTTTGCCAGAATTTACTTTGAGTCGTCACTTGAGTTGACGTGAAAGTACCATTAGTCGTATTAGTAGGCCTCGTAGTAGTATCAGTCGTAGATATATTTGCGCCAGCACCTACAATACAAACATTATTTTGTAATGGTTAGAGTTTACTTTACATGTTGTTGTGACAGGAATATATGATAGGAGTGATGTTTTGCCAGAATTTACTTTGAGTCGTCACTTGAGTTGACGTGAAAGTACCATTAGTCGTATTAGTAGGCCTCGTAGTAGTATCAGTCGTAGATATTTTTGCGCCAGCACCTACAATACAAACATTATTTTGTAATGGTTAGAGTTTACTTTACATGTTGAGCAACCGGCTACAAAAGATGGATAATAATTTCGTTATTGTTCACCACAATATTTCCAATTGTTATATAATGTGTGTAAACTAGAATTAACTAATTAATATTCATCTGTCACGTTAAAATGTTTCCCCTTCATCGATTTTGACCGCATTTGTTGGTCCGGGAGATCGATTTTGGCTGTCTCCTTTGGATAATAGGGGCCTATTGGACAGATGCACATTTTACCGTATTTCGTCTTATTACTCGTGTTTTAAACCACCACTTTTGTAGACCTCCGATTACAACAAGAATTGTAAGCTTAGATAGATATGTTTTTACTATTTTAAATTGTCTATTAATTAATATGATTTCATTACAATTATCCCGTCGTTAAATACATTTCCTTGCATATAAATTAATATTACAAGTATATGTTTTTGCTTTCTTTGTGCTTATTGATGTTTTAATGTTTAAGGAAATATACAAGAAATTCAATAATTTCAATTCCAATTAAAGTAGATATTTTTAAAGTGAATTTCCATTGTCATTGTTGGGAGCGGTGTTTTGCCCTACCTGAAGTAGGCCTATATCGTACTGAATACTCAGTAGGTAAGTTCCAAAATACTTGCGAAAAGAATTCGCAAGTGATTCGAGTGAGTCGAGCCCACGACTAGCATATTATAGTGTCATAAACAATAGACCACTTGCACTTAGTACTAGTGTAGTGACTGGTGTTGAATCCGATTCCCAAGTAGCAGTGAATACTGCAATTCTACCGATATCTTGATGCGTAAGGAATAAAATTTACCTTTAGTCGTCATTTGAGTTGACGTGAAAGTCCCATTAGTAGGCCTCGTAGTAGTATCTGTCGTATGTATGTTTGCGCCAGTACCTACATGCAAACATTTTTTTTTTCTATGGTTAGGGATTACATCTTAAGCAACCAGCTGCATAATATAGGTAATTATTTTGTTATTGTTCACCACAGTATTTCCAATTAGTATATAACGAGTGTCAACAAGTATTAACTGAATAGAATTGATCTACATTTTACCGTAATTCGTTGTATTACTAGTACCGTACTGTATTTTAGACCTACACCCTATTTATAGAACTCCGATTACAACAAAATTGTAAGCAATATACAAATATATCAAATAACCATAAATATGAAGGAAAGATAAAAAATAAAATAAATAAATAAGTAAATAAATAAATAATTTAAGTACATTTTCCCTTGCATATAAATTAATATTACAGGTCTAGCCTTTTACTTTCTTCCTTGCGTGCTCAATAATGTTATGATGCTTAACATTAACCAACCACCGAGCTTGCGCTTTGACTATTGTTGAATCCAATCTCCAAGTAGCAGCGGGGACTGCAATGCTCCGGTATTTTGATGTGTGTTTTTGCGTCAGGATTATAACATAGGAGTGATGTTTTGCCATGAATTTACCTTGAGTCGTCACTTGAGTTGACGTGACAGTAACATTTGTAGTGTTGGTAAGCCTCGTAGGAGTATCAGTGGTAGATATGTTTGCTCCACTAACTATAAACATAATTTTGTTATGATTATCGATATACAACAAATGTAATGGTCATGCATTTCGTATCGCGCCTTTTCCATATATAGATACAAGCGCCCATAATCAGAGATACATATCAAAACAAACAAACAAACAAATAAACAAATAAACAAATAAATAGATAAATAAATAAATAAATAAATAAATAAATAAATATGAATAAATATGAATGAATAAATAAATAAATAAATAAATAAATAAATAAATAAATAAATAAATAAATAAATAAA